TGTAATTTTGGAAATTTTAGATTTATGTGATTTTTGTGGTTCGTCAATCAAACAGAAAATTTTCATTGTTGTTCAAACTTTCAATCTTTAAACTTTAAAAATAGAAATCTTAAATTTTTCTATATTAATTTTAATATTGAACATCTGCTACAATTGGCGATCCTGCCAGGAGAATCATGGAAATCGCCTGATATTGCGCATTATTACCAACAAGCAACTTACCTTTCCGCAAGCGTCTTTCGATTCCTCAAGTAACATTCATTTCCGGAACTTCTGTTTCAACGCTGGAAATTTTATTATTTTGCTTCGGTTCATCAGTTTCTGCCGCCGCCGCATCATCAACGGCCAACGTAAGTAACCTCTCACCGGTTAGTGCGACAGTATTCGTGTTCTTGAATTCGATATCAGCTTCGTTGCCAACAACCAATTACACCGATTAACAGTCAGCAAGTTTACTTTTTCTTGATGGCCTTAGTGTCACTAGAGGCTGTTTAAAATATTTTGTCTGTCGTAATGAACAGATCGGCATCGCCCAGGTGTGCTTATAACACGGGCAGTAAATGTAATAGAAGCAGAGCAGCAACTACCAACTTTATCATTGAAAACAGTTAACAGAGTAACATCAATATTATCGTTATCTGCAGATCAAACAACAGCAACAAAAATAATGGCAACATGTAGAATAATTTTATAAATTGTTGAGCTTTACTACTTACATGCGTGTGGTTCGCTCCGTGTCCAATTCGGGAAAGGCAGAATATTTCCCTAGCCTCGTGGTATGTGACCACCGATTCTTTTATCGTGTGTAAGTGTGGGCGTTTCCCTATTGTCACTGTCAATTCGTGCGTATGCCGATATGATGGTTCGTGTCTTGGATAACATTGGTTACGTACATTCATCTGGCAATCCCCCCCATTTTGAAGTTTAGCTTTGACAGTTTTGTTATGTTTACATTTCTCATGAGTGTTCTTATGTCTATTATTTGGCCACTAAAAATAATAGATCAATATATACATATATATTGTACTTAATTTATTATGCAATTATTTATCTCTTCAATCAGTAACCATTTTTTTTTTTTTTATCGGCTAAACACTTTAAATTGTGAACTTCCCTTTCGAGATTTTTTTATAGCACCAAACTAGTAAAAATGTTTCGTTCGCCACAACATGATACACACACATCTACAGGGACTAAAAATTTAAATGACTCGCTTATAGATTTGCAAAACAACTCTTTTCAAGAGGAGTTGGCAAATCCTTATGCTAGTCAATATAATAATGAGGTATATGCAACCTCAGTGAAGCTTCCACAATTTTGGACAAGTTGTCCAGAAGCTTGGTTTGTGCATACAGAAATGCAATTTAACATGAAAAACATTACACAAGATACTACAAAATATGAACACACAATCACAGCGCTTCCGCAAGAAGTAATAGTTACAATATTAGATTTCCCACCAAACAATTTGTGTTGCCAGCAATAAGAAAACGTGTCGCCCTCGGAAACAAATTTATTGCCGGTAATATTGCCATCGAATCGATTTCCTATTACCGGTCGCTCTAAAACGTCCGCCGAAGGCAACTCGCCTGGGCGAGTCGTTTTCTTATTACCTGAATGAGTCCTTTTCTTATCGCTTCAGGCGATTTTTGGAATAATTTTATTCTTTTTAATACTTCATTTATTTTTTTGTACCAAATTGCAACTTACAATCGGAATTAATTCATTTTCTTGCTGTGCGACCTCCTATTTTTTCAATCTTGTCCTTGGGCATAATTTAGATTGTTTTGGCCAATACTATTGACGCCATATTCATAAGTTTCGGAATTTTTGAGAACTTTTTTATTCAAAATTGACATGAACGAAGTGATGTTGCCGATTTGTCACCACAGCAATAAATCGGTGAGTCGCCAATTTGTTGCCATTGGCGATTGTTGCTTATTTCTCATGTTTTGCATGGTGGGTTCATTCAAAATCCTCCGCATAACAACAAGTTTTCAGAATTAAAGAAAGTCTTAATTGAAAGGCATTCTTTAAGCGAAAATAAGAAATTAGATAAAATTTTGTCAGATTCAGAGATGGGTGATCGTAAACCCTCTGAATTTTATCGGTCGCTCATGTTGCTTGCAGGTTCCAATTTTAGTCTAGATATTTTAAAGAAACTTTGGCTGAGAAAATTGCCAAAAAATCTTAGTGTGATATTAGCTAGTTCAAGTACCAATGATATAAATGAATTGGTGAAACTAGCTGATAATATTTGGGAAGTGATTAATAAAACCGAAATATCAGCTATGAATAGTTTTCAAAATTCTAAATCACAAGACACAATTATTGATAATTTAGTTAAAACGACGAATCTTATGTGCGAAAATTTTCGAAAACTTTCCTTTGAATTAAATTCTATTAAGCAACAAATTAATCAAAATTCTAGATATAGATCATATAATAGGAATTGTTTTAGAAGTCCATATAGAGGTAGATCAAAATCTCGTGATAGTCAAAATTGGTTATGTAGATACCATTACAAATTTGGTGATAAGGCTCAGAAATGTCAACAGCCTTGTGCTTTTTCTAAAAACAAAAATTCGTTAAACTAGAGTCATCCGTTGTTGTGGCGGCAAACAATGGAAATTTAGATATTACCACACGTCGCCTATTTATTTTTGATAAAGCAAACAAACTAAATTTTTTGATTGATAGTGGAGCAGAAATTTCTATACTTCCGGTAAAAAAATTCCCTCATACAAAACGTTCTTCAGATATAATACTTACTGCAGCCAATGGTTCAACGATTTAAACGTATGGTAAAAAGATTTTAAATATACATTTAGGTTTAAGACGGGAGTTCCCATTTGTGTTTCTCATAGCTGATATTGCGAAACCTATTATTGGTGCAGATTTTCTTTGCAAATACGGTCTCTTAATTGACATGAAATGCAAACGTTTAGTTGATCCAGTAACAAGTCTTTCGGTTAACACAGTTTCATGTGTTTGTAACATTTCGCTTCCAAAAATTTTTGTTGTAGAGAACAAGTATACAAGATTGTTGAAGGAGTTTCCTTCTTTGATCGCTGAACCAGATTATTCGAAACCGGTTAAACATTCTACGGTTCACAGACTTTTTACTGAAGGAAATCTGCCATTCTCTAAGCCAAGGCGCTTGGATCCGATTAAATTTAAAGTAGCCAAAACTGAATTCGATTTTTTAGTGAGGACAGGGATTTGTAGACCTTCAAATTCTTGTGTAGCATCTCCACTGCATCTTGTACCTAAAAAAGAACTGAATGACTGGCGTCCTTGTGGTGATTTTCGGAGACTTAATGTTGTGACTGTACCGGACCGTTATCCTTTACCTCATATTCAAGATTTTAACATGAATCTCAGAAATAAGTATATATTTTCGAAATTAGATTTGGTAAGGGCCTACCACCAAATTCCAATGGCA